AGTTGAAGTCCGCAAGTCTTAAAGCTGTCAAGTTACAAGACCCTTGCACCCCTAACCCTTTAGAAAAAACCCAGGGTGTTCAAACTTGACAGCTTTAAGATTTGTGGACTTCAACTCCCAGAATTCCTCTTCTCGCTCTTCATCTTGATGATGTGCAGATGGGCGGGCGGGGGAGATGGAACCGGTTCTAAACGGCACTGTAGATTTGTGGAACCTTCTTCTATAGAAGAGGTTAGAACTGGCAGGAACCCACCCCTGATGCCAGCCTAATTTAAGAGCATGTCCTTCCAAGGTCAATAGTCTTTTGTTTCTCAAGCCAATCCATTCTTTCACCAAAGTAAGCCTAGTAGTACAATTCCCCATCTGGTAGCCCAAAACAACCTCTATTTTTAGAATCTTGTTTATTCTTGCTTTTTTCCCCTAGCCAAATATATTTTAATATTGCTTTATTTAATTCTTCAAAATATTTTCTATAGTTTTATTGTTATTGTTTGAAATAAATATAGTAATCTTGGCAAGATATTCATTTTTATAGTGGCTACTCTTCCCGTTAATGATAATTGTAGATTTTTCCATTTCTTCAAATCCATTTTAATTTGTTGTGCCAATTTATAATAATTATCTTCTTTAATCACTACACATCTTGCTGTTAATTGAATTCCTATATATTTAACATTCTTGAGTATCTGTCTACCTATTTTCCTCATTAGTTCTTTTTTCTGTATGTCTGTAACATATGGCTCAGTGGCTAATATGCTGAGCTTGTCAATCAGAAAGGTCAGCAGTTCGGTGGTTTGAATCTCTAGTACCCCATAATGGAGTGAGCTCCTGTTACTTGTCCCAGGTTCTGCCAACCTAGCAGTACAAAAGCATGTAAAAATGCAAGTAGAAAAATAGAGATCCCCTTTGGTGGGAAGGTAACAGCATTCCATGTGCTTTCGGAGTTTAGTTATGCATACCACATGACCACAGAGACTTTTTTGGATATCACTAGCTCTTTGGCTTTGAAACAGAGATGAGCACTGCTTCCTAGAGTTGGGAATAACTAGCAGATATGTGTGAGGGGAACCTTTACCTTTTAACAATTTTATACAGTTTTATAAAGATTGGGCCAAGAGGTATCTTGACAGAGCAGATTAGCAATAGCAGTTAGATTTATATACCGCTTCACAGGGCTTTCAGCCATCTCTAAGCGGTTTACAGAGTCAGCATATTGCCCCCAACAACAATCCGGGTCCTCATTTTACCCACCTCGGAAGGATGGAAGGCTGAGTCAACCTGAGCCGGTGAGATTTGAACAGCTGAACTGCAGAATTGCAGTCAGCTGAAGTAGCCTGCAGTGCTGCATTTAACCACTGCGCCACCTCGGCTCTATAAGCTACATATAGCTTAAGGTTACTGCTCATGTGGGTGCATTAAATTGTATTTGCAGAATTTGAATAAGGCAATTGAAAGAACTGTCTGGATCTCAATCAATTTATATGATGGCCTTTCCCTGTTACTTTTTGATGATGCATATCTTCTTATAGGATGCATAGAATATTAAATGACTATTCTAGCTAGCTGTTAAAAGACCACAGACTAGAACCAGAGAAGTCCAGGTGCAGGTATACTGTGGAAAATACAGGGCGGGGCATAACCTTTTCCTAGGGGGTCACAGCAACACTTGTAATAACAACACAAATAATTCATACACCATTCGAAAGCCCATNAAAACAAAACAAAATGTGAACAAAGAAAAATAATAAAACACAACTTTCATTCAGCAATGAAGGGGGGGGGGGGGGGGAGAAAAAAGAGGCGGGAAAATGGGTGAGCCCTTACCGACATGTTCCTCTGTTATATGAATAGTTGGAAGGGCCTGAATCTTCTCCTTGTCTGCAGGAGGCGGGCCGGTGTTTTCAAACTGATTCAGGAGCTGAAAGAAAATAAAAGGGTGACAAAGGAGGGAGAGACAGTCCCAAGGTTGCTGCTGCCAGATTGTGGCTATACATCAAGCTTGGAACTCCCGGGAGTCTCTAATCCAAGAATGATCCAGGCCAAATCCTTCATAACTTCCTAGCCCAGAGAAGGCCAGCCTGCCGAAATAAATTAAGGGTTAAAATTAATTCTTATTAACAGGCTGTCCTTCCTCCTGCTTGCCCATTTGGGGTTGGGGGGGGGGGGGAATGTCTCAGCATCCCATTTGAACCCCCCAGTATAAGCAGTCCATGTCTTAAAAAAAAGACACATGTCTTACGCCTATCAGGGTATCAGGATAACCAGGGTCAGCTAAATTTGCAGCCTCCTGTTAATGGCAATGTAAGATCAACCCGCCTTGTTTTTTGCGGCTACTTCCCCTCCCGCCCAATAAAGATGGTGGGGGCAGCTAGGAGCAAGTCTGGAGGTTACAAGCTCAGTTATGATGATAAAAAAAAAAAATCCTACTGAGCTCCTCAAGATGAACCTGGACATGCACTAGCCAAGGATCCTTGGATCCTCCCAATTTTCAGGCTAGGTTTCTGGTGCCCCATTCAAAGGCACATCCACTCTACAAAGCCCAAGTTTCAGCTTCCTTTAAAACCAGTGTTTCTCAACCTTGGCAACTTTAAGATAGGTGGACTTCAACTCCCAGAATTCCCCCGCCGGCATGAAGTCCACCTATCTTAAAAGTTGCTGAGAAACGCTGCTTTAAGCCGTTTTTCAGAACAAGAAATACTTAAAACCTCCCCTTCCCATCCGCTTTCTAGCTCCAAATGTTTTATGGGAGACATGTAACAGGGTTACCTCCAAATTGTCATATATTAACCAAATGATACGATTATTAATAATGCAGGTAAGTCTTGACTTACGACCACAATTGAGCCCCAAATTTCTGTTGCTAAGCGAGACAGTTGTTAAATGAGTTATGCCCCATCTTGCCACCGGTGTTAAGTGAGTCACTGCAGCTGTTACATTAGTAACATGGTTGTTAAATGAATCTGCCTTCTCTACTGGCTGCTTGTCAGAAGGTGCCAAGAGGTGATCACATGTCCCTGGGACCATCATAAAGATGGGTCAGTTGCCAAGCATCCGAATTTTGATTATATGACCACGGGGATGCTGCGATGGTCATAAGGACAAAAAATGGTCATTTTTTTCCCAGTGCTGTTGTAACTTCAAACAGTCACGAAATGAATGGTTGTAAGTCAAAGCCCGCCTGTGATATTAAGCAAGGTAGGGATACTTGGAAGGGTCTCACCTTGGTCATGTTTATAACTGTGGCATAGTTATACAGTTTGCATATACGTTTGCTGTACAGATTAAGCTAGGCCCATTAGTAAACACTCCCCTGTTTCCTCCCTGCTTTTAGGCCAATGCCTGCACAAACCATATAAGCAGGATTTGTAGGCTACAGCCTTCTTCTGCTGTTGGCTTCCAGCACAAGTCTCAGGATGGATTCTTCCCTAACAGGGAGTTTCCCTTTAGCTAGTGGAACTTGAGCCTCTTAGAATTAAGCTGCATCTCAGTGGGAGCCCATAGAAAAGGACATGAGAGCAGGGGTGGGTTGCTACAGGCTTGCCCAGGTTTGGGAGAACCCGTAGCTAACGTTATGGACGGTTCGGAGAACCTCCAAATCCCACCCCTGNCTGCATCTCAGTGGGAGCCCATAGAAAAGGACATGAGAGCAGGGGTGGGTTGCTACAGGCTTGCCCAGGTTTGGGAGAACCCGTAGCTAACGTTATGGACGGTTCGGAGAACCTCCAAATCCCACCCCTGACTGGCCCCGCCCACCCTTCCCCTCCCAGGAGTCTCCACGCGGCCCATTTTGGATGCGAGGTAAGTACAGGGCCCGCACAGAGGCTCCTGGAAAGCCTCCGGAGCCCAGGAAAGGCAGTTTCCACCCTCCCAGAGGCTCGAGGAAAGCCTCCAGTGCCTGGGGAAGGCGAAAATGACCACCACCCCTGCCGTGGTGCAGGAGGCCGACTAGGCCACGCCCAGCATGGCCACGCCCACCCAGCAACCGGGCAGAGAACCCATTGCTGAAATTTTTGAAGCCCACCCCTGCGTGAGATTCCTAAGCTCGGAAGCCTCCATATGCCACCGTTCTGCTCCCCCCTCCCTGACCCGCAAAAGGAAGAGATGTGCCCTACACACAGCCAGCTGTACCTGAGTAATAATGGCATCCAAGCCGTTGGCGCCCCAAGCGTAGTCCATGGGATTTGAATGCAAGACTCCCCTTTATAAATAGAAAGCACCAAAACAAAGAAAGGACAGGAGGAAAAGTTAAGCCTTCACTGGAACTGGCTGGGCAGATGGTCAAAGGTTTATTGACTTTGGAGGATTCTTAGAATAAGCCTAAGAATTCCACTTTCTTTAAGACGTGTGGACCGCCTCCCAAAATTACCAGTTAGACAGAATTCTGGGAGTTGAAGTCCATACTTCTTACAGTTGCTAAGGTTGAGATACACTGATCTAGAACATGCTCTGACCAACTCACCAAGGTCCTACTCCAAGGTTTGGTATCGTGGTCGGTGCTATAATTCCATTGACCAGCTGCTGGATAATTCTGCCAAAAGGAAGGGGAAAAAAAACAAGAAAAAATGTTGAGGCATTCTGGAGCAGGGTGAAGAGAACTGCTGAATGAGATCACAGTCCCCCAATTTCTGACGATGGAATAGGTGGAATTTTAAGTGGCTACTTGGTAATCCCCAATTTATAACTGTAATTGAGCCTGGAATTACGGTTTTTAAATTGTGTCAGTCATTAAGTGGGTCATCATGTGACGGACCCAATTTTATATTTGCTGCATTAAGCAAATCATCATAGTCATTCAGTGAATTGGCAATCGTTAAGCAAAATACCGTTTGCAAAGTATGCTTTTTGCTGGAAACTGGAAGTCAATGCTGGTGATTACATAACTGTGGGACATTGCAAAGGGCTTCAAGTACGGGCTAGTAGTCACGCACCTAAAATGCAATCATGCGGTCACACAAGGGAGGGGGGTGGGGCTGTCGTTGGAACTTCGCTGGTTGCCTTGTTAACTACAATGGCCCTGCTCCAGGGGTCTCCAACCTTGGCAACTTTAAGACTTGTGGACCAATTCCCAGAATTTCTCAGTCTCATACTGGTTGAAGAATTCTGGGAGTTGAAGTCCATAAGGTTGGCGAGGCCTGCTCTAGTGACCTCCAATGGTGACTGGAGAAATGAGTGATGTCCAATTTTTCAGCTCTGGAACCGCTGCAACTTAATTTTGAAATTGTACAGGATCTTTCACCTCCAACTTAGGTGTGGCCCTTCCCATTTTTGGACAGCGCAGTTCCAACCAATTTGGTAGACCCCCACACCCATTCCCAAAACCACTGTTCTCCTACATCCAAAAATGAATCAGCAGCCACCATGAACCAGGAATCCACTTCCATGGTTTTAAAGCTATATTCAAAGAAGCAACTTGACCTTCGGAGCTGGACAAACTGTCCTCACCCTTCTAGTGTGGGGACTCCCTCATGTCTGCCAGCCGCCCGTCGTGTGGTGAAACGAGCCCGAGGTTGCCTGGCTCCATATCGGTGCCGAGACTGATGTTCTCTTTCCCGCCTGTTCTCAGCATCGCGGTTATCTTCTGTTTGTGTGTTGGACCCAAAGGCTGGGAACTCAAAACTGTCGTCGATTATCCCAAAGGCAAACTGGCCGTAGCCCTGCGGGAGGGTGAAGAGGGGCTGATCCACATTCTGGAAAGGAGAGAGAAAGCACCAGACAGAGAAAAGGAAACTGCTTAGAACAGAGGAAGATGACTTACGGAGGCAGGCCAGAAACCAGGACTGCCAGTAAGCTGACATCGTCCGACTATGGAATTAAAGTTCCCATAGTCCTTCACCATTATTCAGCTTGTCTGAAGCTTATGGAGGTTGAAACTCTGAAATGTCCGATCCAGGTACCTCTTTCTGCTTTTCTGCCATAATTTTGGAAGCATATCATCACAGGCACTCTCATCAAATGGCTGCCATGGCAGGAAAGTGGCCCACTCACAAAATGGCTGCCGGTCACAAAATGCTCATTTACCAATTATTTTCTCTCTCTACCATCTTCTCTAGAACTCTCCTTAGCAACCCGGCTTCCTTTTTTTCTGTTTCTTCTGCACAGCTAAGTATTGAAAACCCTGGGAAGGATCCTCTAACCTTTTCTATCTTCTAAGAATGCCAGGGAGGCCCATTCACAGAAATAAATATAATGCTAAAGGCCTCCTTCTTTGTAGGAGCTTTCTGTGTTACTCTTGAAATTTAAAGGAGGGATCTGATTGGGTGCCGTGGGATGTCTGTGGGAGCTGGTGTGTTTGTGTATGTGTTCGATCAACAGCCTGTCTAATTGTACTGCAAATCTTGAGCCAGAGTTGAAAGAACAGAACTTTCCAATCTGCAATGCCTGACAGCTTGGTTCTAGGGAATTGAGTACTCTTTGCTTGGTCTAACGCAAGTGTTTCCCAATCTTAGCATGTTTAAGATGTGTAGACTTCAACTCCCAGCCAGCAACGCTGTGATCCACAGATCCTCAAAGTGAAAAAGGCTGAGAAACAGTGGTCTAACAGAAGGGGATTCTAAACACCGCACTGAATTGTCAGAAGGCGAAACGAATACCATCCATTGACACTAAGAGATATTCTCCATTCCTTTCCGCTCTCTTAGGATTGGACCTGGGATCGCTCAAGAAAAAAAGGGGAGACATAAATACCCTGGGTAAACCTTTGGCAGGTTTTCCTAATTGTCTATCAATATATTTATACCCGTTTCACCGAATGAAGACTTTATTCATAAAGAACTCACCTCAAACGGATGTCTGGCCTGGTCACTGGTTGAGGCTGAAGAGCTGGACCCATTTTCAACATTTCTAGAAGAGTTTAAAGGGAGGGGGGGAAACAAATTACTTAAGTACGATGGAAATTAGGATTCCTGAGAATGCTAGAGAAGAACTACAGCCAGACAAGGGAAACTGGACGTTTTTAGGTGCCTCTCTTAAAAAAAAACACAATATAGATGAGGTCTTTTTTAAAAAAATAGTGACATCTATGTATTTTCTTCTTCTTATCTGTTTCATTGTTCTATTATCTAACTTTGGTTTGTTCAAACTTTCTTTTTATTTTGTTGTTTATGGTTGTGAATGACTAGCGTAGCCCCATGGCAAGGTAGATAGCAAATAAATTTAATAATAAAATAATAATAATAATAATAATGAGTTGTGTTGGGTTTACATGAGGGATAGAAACAATCTGTAACAGGCCTTCTTTTGGCGAAAACAAAAAATGCCAGCATTTATTTTTCTTGTTTGTCCTTCTACTTGTAATTGTTTCTGATTTTTCCATTTCTTCTTCATTCAGTAACCTCTACTTTTCAGTTTTTTTTCTCAAGCTGGAAAAAAAAATCCCCCTTCTCTTCAACTTCCCTGTCTTATAACTTCTGCTTTTTAATAAGATGGTGAACCTGTGCAGTGGGACAGGAGGCTCAGCAGCCCCTAGTAGTGCTTATAAAAGATAAATGAGGCTGTGCTTTAAAATTCCTTTCCAGGGCCTCACACACATGTCAAATGTTCCTGGCAGAAAGAGAAATAACACTGCTGGGTGAATCTTCTCTTCCCGGCTTTATGCATACTGCATGCTGTGTAATCCATTCAGAAGAAAACCCCTTCCTGCAAACAGGGAGATTTACTTTCAGTGACTGAATTATACTATTGTATCTTTTACAAAGTGTAAACTGCTCTAGCGTACCTATTGTGACGGATACAATAGCCCCGTTTTAATTAAATATATTTATCTACTCATGAAAGGAAGAAGGAGCAGAAGAGTATCACTTAATGTACTGCAATCTGAAACCAGTAATCCAAGGGGCTTAACCGGGTTAAAACCTGAAACCATCCCATCTGGGAGCAGAAGCTAATTTAAATATCTGCAGCCTCCTCCCGTATTCTCTCCTGAAAGCCTTTCTGCTACCAACATTAAGATATTTTTACTTCTTCTTTGATCAGGTTTTGGCAACCTTGCAGTCAAATTTAAAAGTGTCCTTTTGGCGATTTTTGAGCTGGTCTAATACAGGAATAATGGGCCTAATGTAGAACTGGAAGCCTTGAATTTAACTTGAATAAATTCGAATCTGCTTTTATTTTAACAAGGAAATAAAGCAAAAATGGTAGCACACAACAATGGAAATCGTTCCTGATTGAGAGCTTTGAAATAAAATTTAATAGCGTTTCTCCGAAAATAAGAACTCCCTAGATAATAAGCCCAATCGGGCTTTTGAGCACATGCACTAAAATAAGCCCTCCCCTAAAATATTTAAATGCATGCGTAGCAGGTCCCTGCCATTTCTGGGGGAGGGGATGGGGGAACATGCCCCACGTGCCTTACATGTACCTGCCATCCACACGGAATGGCCTCGTAGAGGCTGCTCCCGCAAACCCTACCTACCGCGCCCCTTCTCTTAGTGGCGGCTGCAAAAAAGCAACGCTAGGGCTGGCAAGAGTGTGCCAGAAAGAGAGACAGAACTTCCAGCCCTCTCTGGATCAGCTGATCCGTGGGCCAAGGTTAAGGGGCTTCCTGAACCTCAAAAATAATAAGACCTCTCCCAAAATAAGGCCCAGCATTTATTTCGGGAGTCAAAGGAAAATAAGACCCTGTCTTATTTTCGGGAAAACATGGTGGTGCCAGTGATCACCCGTCAGAATGTAGGGCTTGTTAAAATTCATAACAGCAGAGGAATTCACCAAAAATTCAGTTAGAATTCCAATAGATACAAACCCTTCCATGCAACTAACTCTAAAACTAGGAGAGAACAATGCATCTTTGTCAGATATAAGATGGGAACCCCTCATAACACTTTTGTGATGTACAAGAGGATTTTGAAGAGAAGAATTTGCCAAACTTTCTGAGCTGGTGGGCACTTTTGAGAACATATGAAGAACAGTTGCAGGAACTGGGTATGTCTAGTTTAATAGAAAGAAGGACTAGGGGAGACATGATAGCAGTCTTCCAATATCTCAGGGGTTGCTACAAAGAAGAGGGAGTCAAACTATTCTCCAGGGCANAGGGAGATGGCCAAAGAGGGCAGACTGGAAGTTGGCCATGCTGGGAAGGTCACTGCAAAATGAGGGAGATGGCCAAAGAGGGCAGACTGGAAGTTGGCCATGCTGGGAAGGTCACTGCAAAATGAGGGGGATGGCCACAGAGGGCAGACAGGAAGTTGGCCATGCTGGGAAGGTCACTGCAAAATGAGGGGGATGGCCACAGAGGGCAGACAGGAAGTTGGCCATGCTGGGAAAGTCACTGACATAGGAAAAGGGACAGGCAGAAAGTTCTTCCGGGCCGAAACAATGGGTTAGGTGGTAAGTCATGTGGTTTGTTTAGGACTTGTCCCTTTTAGTACTCGTCGCACCTCTCAGAACCAGTTAACACCAAGTACCGAGATACCACTGTATTTCCATGGGTGGGAGCTTGTCATTGAGTCTATTTTGAATGGATCCTTCAACAATTAAGAATTTTGAGGGAGAAAAAATAAAAATGGAGTGATGGAGAGAGAAAAGCTGAGATGCTGGAAATAAACACAGGGCCTTATGCCGATGGTATTCCTGGGAGAGAAAAATAAAAGGAAATCACATGTGACAAAAAAATTAAGAAAATGTGGGCTTGACAGGGCAATGCAACATTTCAAAGGCAGATGTGCTTCGGAGCATCTACAGGAACAAACGTGATCCCCGTCTGCGACTCCTTTAAAAAAAAAAACAATGTCTTTTCCCCAGTTGTGTGGGAACCTGGGCTGGGCTGTCCTGTGCAACTGACAGTGCAATCAAAGGAAAATATTGTTTGGTTTTGTCATACAACTGCAGGATGGGATTAGTGAACCATAAGCCCCGCAAAGCAAAACAGCCAACCGAACAAAACTGCCTCTAGAAATTGTGAGCTTTTTTGCTGGAGGCATTTAATGGAGGCCGGAGAGCCATCTGTGTGGAAAAAAACCTACGCTACTGACAGTTTGATGAAATAGTCTCTAACTCTCTAATTCTAATTCGACACTAATTCCAGTGTAACCCTGTGCCAAGGGATCTGTCCCCCCCCCCTCAAATCCAGATCTTCAAAAAGATTATCAAAAACTCATCTGTTTTAAATGGACTTAACTGAGACGAGTTATGTAGCATGCTGTAAGCTGTTAATGCCTGGCCTTGAGATTGATTTTTCAATTACAAGCTTCGGGAATTATTGGGTTTAGAAATGACTTTAAAGGGCTGTATATTGGTTTTCTAGAAAGGATTTTCACTAAAAAAAAAAAAGGGGTGGTGGTGTTTTATTGCAGGAACAAGAAGCCCTTAAAAAGAAAGTGTTAGGCTTCTAAGGAAACAGGGTATCTAGTAGAAGCCTCACTGGAGGAAGGGTTGCCCTTTCGAAGAAGCTTTTTAAAATATTTAAAATCAAAGGCATATTCCCCTCTCTTGGTTTTGTTTAAAGCAAGGTTTCTCCCTCGCACATATGTGCTAGTCGTTCCCGACTCTAAGGGGCGATGCTCATCTCTGTTTCAAAGCCGAAGAGCCAGCGCAGTCCGAAGATGTATCCGTGTTCATATGGCTGGCATGACTAAACGCCAAAGGGGCACGGAACGCTGTTACCTTCCCACCAAAGGTGCTGCCTATTTTTATACTTCCATTTTTTACATGCTTTCAAACTGCTAGGTTGGCAGAAGCTGGGACATGTAACGGGAGCTCACTCCGTTATGCGGTGCTAGGGATTCGAACCGCCGAACTGTCGACCTTTCTGATTGACAAGTTCAGCGTCTCAGCCACTGAGCCACCTTCTGTTTAAAGCAAAACAAGATCTTTCGTTTTCAGCGGAACAATTGTTCTGCTGAAAAGGAATGATTTTGTGTCAATCGTTGAAGAATGAAGCAGGAAGACAGCATACAAGCCATGGACCAAACCTTGCCCCCTTTTGCTAAAAAAAAACAACCCTTATCTTAAAAGTCCTCTCTTCCTCCTGTTCAATCTCCAAAGACATCTATTATTCTCCATCGCTATTAAAAAGTGTCTGGATCACAGCAGGCCAAAAGGGTTTCCTGCCTAGGCAGGGGGTTGGACTAGAAGACCTCCAAGGTCCCTTCCAACTCTGCTATTGTATAAACAAGGCTCTCATTGGGGCCCCTGGTGGATAGTCTCCAGCCTCCCCAAAGCAGCTGTGGACATGGGATGCTCTCTGCTCAAGTCCTTCCATGACTTCCCCTGACAGCTCACCTGTTCCAGCCACGGGACTATGCAGCCATCATGGAAGAGGTGATTGCAGGGTAATTGTCGCACACTCTCGCCAACTTCATAATCTTCCTTACAGACGGGACATTCCAGTCCTGAAACTACAATTGGAAGGAAAAAAATAAGAGAGATAGATAAATAGGTAGGTAGGTAGGTAAGTAGGTAGAGAGGGAGAGGGAGAGGGGGAGAGAGAGAGAGAGAGAGAGAGAGAGAGAGAGAGACCACAACTGGAACCAACTTTCTCGTTAAGTGAAGCAGTGGGTAAGAAAAACCGCAACAGGAAGGATGTAAATGTAAGTATGGGTTGCCTTTTCCTCGTTACCGTAGTTGTGAATGGTTGCTAAACAAGGAATACCTGTAGGGGGAGTCCTCCACTTACAGCCATTTGTTTTTTGACTGTTCAAAATTACAACAGCACTAAAAAGGACTAGGTCCTTGCATTTACAACTGTTGCAGCAACCCCACGTTTACATTATCAAAATTTGGGGACTTGGCATCTACCATGTATTTACGATGGCTATATCAACCAATCCCTTTTCTGGGATCTGATGAGAGTCAGCATCGGGCACCTTAACCCGGCGTTCGGTTCATCCCGCAGCGCCAGTTCTGCTTACCAAAAGTGGCCCACTAGGCGTCTCTTGTTCCAGGCCTGGCTCCATGCCAGCGAGTCGGGCTTCTTAGCCATTTAAATCAGGGGTCTCCAACCTTGCAACTTTAACACTAGTGGACTTCAACTCCCAGAGTTCCTCAGCCAGCACAAGAACTCTGGGAGTTGAAGTCCACAAGTCTTAAAATTGCCAAGGTTGGAGACCCCTGATTTAAAAGTTTAAGTATAGGTTGAGATTGTTTCGGCCCCAAGACCTCTAATCACTCGCTTGACTGAATAAAACTGCAGCAGCCTTGTGCCAGCGAGCGCCAGCCATCCTGAGGGAATTTTGGAGGGAACCAGCTACCAGTCGGTTTGATTAGTCTTTCGCACCCATACACAGGTCGGACAACTGATTTGTATGTTAGGACCGCCATTTGCAACCTTTCCAGCCAGTTTCTGACAAGGAAAGGCAATGGAGGAAGCCAGATTCATTTAACAACCGTGTGATTCATTCAACAACTGCAGTGATTCGGCGAACACTGTGGCCAAAAAAGTTGTGTTCTGGAGGATGATGAAGGCAGAAGCAATTGGGATCTGTTAAGAATTTGCCACCTAAGTTCCCCAAGCTTCCTTTTGTTAAGGTACAAGTAGACCTCCACTTACAATTGAGCCCAAAATAATTGAGACAGTTGTTAAGTGAGCTTTGCTCATTTCACCAGCTTTTGTGCCCCAGTTAAGTGAATCGCTGTGTTGTTAAATTAGCAACATGGTTCTTTAGTGAATCTGGCTTCCCCATTGACCGCTTGTCAGAAGGTCAAAGGTGATGATCCCGTGACTCTGGGACACAGCAACTGTCATAAATACATGCCAGTTGCCAAGTGTCCAAATTTTGATCCTGTGACCCCGTAGGGATGTTGCAAAGGTTGTTAAGTGCAACCCCCCTCCCCAATTGTGTCACTTTTTCCAGTGCTGTTGTAACCTTGAATGGTAAGTGGAGAACTGCCTGTACATTGCTCTCAACCCACTGACTGGATGGCGGAAGATATTTATGATTCTATTTCTTTTCGGAAGGCTGAGGCACAGATCTCCTTCCATCCTTCAGCTTCATGTGCTAAACATAATTACAGCACTGTAGACAATGCTGTTCCTGTTCAATGCTATCCAGCCACCCTATTCCACTTGAATAGGAGAAGCTTAAAGAGACTGAAAGGTGATTCTGTTTTGTAGACTCTTGGCAACGAAACAGAAGCCACAATCTTCTGAAGTTTTAAGAACAAGCTGAGATTGGTTCCAAGTAAGTCTAGGGTCAGCCTAAGAAACCTTGCCTGTCTCTGGTTCTCAACCACAGAAAGGAATGAGGCCACCAACCCTGAACCAGAGAATAAAACCAAGGGGCGAAAGAGGAGGAGGAAAGTTGGCCAACAAAAGCTACAATAAGACAGCAGAATCTTTTAAAAATAAGAATGCTATTGAAACGAAAATTAGATGATGATCCAGGTCTTTTTGAATGTATTGGGGGGAAGGGGTCATTTTTTTTTTTTTAGTCATTTATTAAGATTTATAGGCCCCCCTTTCCCCGGGGGGGCCTCAGGGCGGCTTACAATCACAGGGGGGGGGGGTGCAGTATCAAAAAACAAAACAAAATGTGAACAAAGAAAAATAATAAAACACAACTTTCATTCAGCAATGA